AGCAGGCTACACAAACACACCTAAATGGGGACATTCAAGCAATCTTCTTTTATACTGAATTCTACCCTCATGTTTTGCTGCTGGCAGTCTTTCATGTTTTTTATTGTTAAGTTATATGTCTGAGCTATACAGAAACTGTTTTCAGCTCTTGTGTATTTTTGATTTTTCAGAACTCCTGGTTTTGGTTTCTTAAGCCATATAAATTGCTTATTTTTTCCCTTAGCAAACCATTTTCTCTATCTGTTGGTTCAGTAAATGATACAACTTCCTACTGATTTTACCTGGCTCATATACATACATGAACCTAGAACACTTCCTTATTGTGTATTGGCTTTCTGTGCTACAGTTTGCTTTCTGGGATTAGAACAATTGAGTTCAGATGAGATTCACAGGACCTCTTTGCAGAACTCTGGCTCCAGGTTTCCATCCTCCCTTGCAGGGTCAAAGACTCTCCTAGGAGCTGGAGCTTGAGGGTACCTGTATTAAGTAACTGAGGTATCAGACTGTAGACTTAGCTTTGCTAAATCCTATTAGTATGATAAGCCTTTTTAGTTTGGACTTTCCTTGTTGCTCCTTGAGGGTATAATTAATTACCTATAAGTAAATTTTGGACTGTGCACTACGTGTAGACCAGATAGGAAAACACAAAATAGTATCTCAATCAGTGTTCCTTGAAGACTTTAATTTCTGCTATGAATTCCCAGATGTACAGGAAATGTCACAGCTATAAATCCCTTGAGATGATAATCAGTCTCAGAGACAGCATATATTGGATTTGGAAATATTTCTTTCAAAATGTAACAAGATCAGGTAACACACTAGAGCAAGGTGGCAGAATGGAGGAGATAAAAACACTGGTTTACAAGGCAGATGGGACTTCAGCTTTTACCTCAGTAGCACTGTGCTCTAGAGATAAAGCTGGAAAACCAAGGTTGAATGTATAATGTAAATGCTATCTAGATACAAATGTCATTTATTGTTTTTATTCTTTCTCTTTTCACTTTGAGTCTTGGAGGAATTAGTGTTTAATTTGGAAGATATTGTTCCTGCATTGCTGCAAGTTTATGTTGTGCTGGACTTGGCAAGGATACTAGAATCTAATTAAATCAGTGTAGGAATGAAGGTTGGGAATCAGTAGTTGCAAGAGATTCACAGAAAAAAAAGGTAAAATCTCTTGCTTTGACTCAAAAGTGAGGTATCAGAAGTCAGATACATTAAGCAGGGAGCAAATGAAGTCTCTAATGCAGCTTGCTTGGCAGTCAAAAGAATGTTATTATAATAGCTTTTTAGTGGAGTGGAAATATCCAATTTCCCCAAAGACCAATCTGGCTTAGCAGTGCAGACTTTCTGACTTCATATTCTAATGCTTACTTCACAAGATGCCCCATTTCTCCTTATGTAATGAATTGGAAACATTGTTTCAGAGCACAAAGTGCAAGTGCTGCTCCACTGGATAAAAGAATTCTCAAGGAACTTTATGAATAACAAAAAAGAGAAAACTGGCCCTACAGTCTTCATGTGAAAAAAATCAAATTTTAAATATTAGATGCCTCTAGAGATGATAATCAAATATTTTTATCACTAAGACAATCTGAGGAAAATAGTGTGGCTGATATGACAATACAGACCCTTTAAAAATGCAATAGAAACTGAAAGGGCTGACAGTTGGGAACATCAGTATCTTGGAAAAGCACCCCCAAACAAGAACATGCTTTATCAGATGTTGAAGAGCTGATTATATTCCAAATTACTTAATGCTGTTACTTACGCCAAAGGCAGAAGAACTGCAACCTAACTGTAACACTGTACACTGTTTTATGCATTCTGCATGTAATCATCAGGATAAAAGCCTTTCAGCATTCTATACAGATAGTTACATTGCTGCATGAAGTCTGTCTTCAGTAATTATGAAGAATCTAAGGCAATTCACAGTCTGTATTCATATTGTAATTTAAGCCTTCTGGGTTGGCAAACAGTTGTCTGCAATCTATTGTAAGAGAGGAAAAAAAGAAAAGAAATACTTCACATGCTAATATAAGATTAAAGAATAAAGCAGGGAAGAAGAATGCAAATAAAAAATAACAGATTAAATCGACAAGATAATATTCTTTATTCCTTATTCTACATAACCCTTCCTTAAGGCTTTTCCTCAGTCTAGTATGGTGCTCCAGCTGGATAATACATGTACAGTCTGCCAAAGAAAAATACTGCAGCTAAAAACTGAGCTCTTTCTCAGAGCAGGACAGAAGTATAAGAGTGAAGGCTGACCAAAATCAAGAAACAGGAGCTTTCTGATTCGTGGTTAGGATGCCTTGGGACTCTAGCTGTCCTGCAGAGCCTGGAAAGGGATGGCTGAGCATGAAGAGCTCTCTGGATTACATGACTCTCTTGCTCACTGTCTTCCTGGACTTCTGGCATTTGTTGGCATCACAGGCTGCACTCAGCTCTGGCTTCTGCTGCAATAAGCATGAAATCATGGCAATGCCAAGGCTGCAGTAGCAAGTGGTTTATGACCCTGTCAGTCCTTCTCTGGTGTTTTTACTGGACACATGTCAGAGGGCCCTGAAAGGCAAACCTGTAATCTTTAGGAAAATGCAGCAGAAATGCCAGGCTCTAGTACTGAGATACAAATTTAAGGGAAAAGGACTGGTGTGTTATCATCTCTCCTAAGTTCCTTATCAATAAAGGAGTGTGCACATATCACTAAAGATCTTGTGTACAGTGGTGCTTTTTTATGGTTTTTATTCCATGCATGGAAGAATCACACTACCCTGGACTGATTTAGTTTTACTGAAGCACAAACGAATGTAAATATGAATAAAATTTTTTATGGCTCAGTGAAACATCTATTGTTCTAATCAACAACTGGAGAGAATTTTCTGTATGAATTGATTATTTAATCCCTGAAATTAGGAGAGAAAGCATCATATTTCACCTTATGGAATCTTACTGATTGTTATTTCAGCACTTATTTTTGCTTACTTATGATTCATGGATATCCTATAACTAAAGGAATATGAGTAAGACTCTGAACATGGGTTCTGCCTCTGCTCTTGAAGTAATATGCAAATTACCGGTTACTCTTTGGAAAGAACACTTAGATTTGAGGAACTTGTACTGCAACTTTTTAGAGTTTTATAAAATATAATATGAATTTATAAACCTGTTTTTACTTTCCATCGATTAGTACATTGCTACTTGCAATGTTATATGACCAAGTATCATTGACCTCACAAGGTATCTGTGTTTTAGTGCATTTCTGAAACAGGAGACCAAGGTAAATCTTTTCAGGCAGTCTGTCCTGTGCTGTACTAAAGAGAAGAGCACTTCCAGAGGACAGCAACATGCCTGCTTTCTAAACCTAGACCATGCACAGTGCTGAAGGAGGGAGGCTCAGGTTGTTTAAATACAAGCAGCATCCTGTTGGTTGAAACAGAAAGGCTCTAAGAAACTTTCCTAGGAAAACAGGGTAAAGTCCCTTCTTTGGACCACGTTTTTAAAAGTCACAATGTAAGTTACCATCTTTTGTAACTGAGACAACACTAACAAAGGAGTTAATGAACTGGAAGTGATGTAAAGCCTAAAGGGGAACATAAGGAATGCCAGATATCTTTAGAGTAACATTCTTGAACTGCAGGCTGCATATTATTTTTGACATCTGATCAAGCACTAACTTGATCAACTGTTTTCCTTTCTTTTCCATAGCTCAGTATTTAAATCTACTCAATCACACCCACACATTCCATCAGCCAGCTCCACACATAGTTACAAAGTTAAGAGTGAAAACTCTAATGCTCACACGATTAATTCACTTATTTTGAAGACTTTGGAGAAAAAAAGGGAAGAGCTGCATGGCCTGAAGTCTTAGTTTGAGACAAATGTGTTCATTTCACTTTTGAGAAAATGCTCTTATGACATCATCTATCAGCATAAAGCACTGAAATTTTGGCTGTACTTCTAGGATGATGCAGGGCTAAGAGTTTATGATTCAAGTATGTTAAATTGTTCTGTTTTGGAGGAATGGATTAAAGGTATTTTGAAGCTTCTGTTTCTTGTTTATCTTCTGTGATTTTGTGAGTGTTCTGATGGAGGTAGAGAGCACAAGAGCTGTTCCTGGGTGGAGGGAGTGAACTGCAAAGGAGAAAAATTTCTGAAGTACCTATGAGACTTCTTTGCTTTTCATTTGAGATTAAAGTCAGGGGATAGGATCCCAAACAACACCATTAAAATGAGTTTTTACAGGGCAGCAGAGAGACAGAAAATGAGCTCTTCTGAGCTGACAAGAAACCAAGGCTGATGTCAGAAACTATTGATTAGGCTCTGGTCCACTAAAAGCAGTCAAACAGAACAATTGTGGGATCTTAGCATAGATAAGGTAGCTGTGCCTCTTAAAATCAGTAGTTTAAGTTTGGGATATTTTTTAAGACACTTTCATTTACATATTTTCTATGTGTTTGTATGTGAGCTCAGACTATGAAGTGAGGAGAAGGCATAATGAAGGTTAATGGAGCTCTCAGGTTCATGCAATTCACATGAATTAGAAATAATTTACTAAGAGGAGGCTCACCAAAATCAAATCTAAAAATACTTCATGCAGAGTTCACAACAGACTAAATATCACTTCTAAACAGCTGCAATGTACTTTTGCCAAAATGAGATAAAATAAATGCCAAGTAAGTGCCAGAGTGAACAAAGGAAGGGTCCCTCCTGTGTCCCTTTACAAATACTTTTTCTTCCACATTATTCCTTTTGTAAATGGAGAAGGAATAAGAATGGAAAGAACAAGAACCATTAAAAACCAAAGTGAGCCCTGGACCAGTCTTTCCCTCCTCTCAATAGTACAGGAGTATATACTCCTGAAATCTCATAATCTGAAGTCAAGCACAACAAACATCATTCTTTCTCTTATTTTGGTAAACACTTGGAAGCATTATGAACTCAGCATCATATTGTGAGATCAGCTGTGTGTTCCTGTGGTAGAACGAGTCCTGTTCTTTTGTTCTTCCCACAAGGAGCTATAGAGAATTTCAGAATAGGGAGGAATACAAAACCAAATCTCTTCCCAAGACAATATGCCATTGCAAATTAGGCAGTGTGACAAGAATAGTAAATACTTTCTTTTATTAACAGCAATCATTAACATCTTTGGGATTAAAGGGGAAACAATTCTTTCTTTGTGCTGTTCATATAATAGTAAACCAATCTAATGATCATTGAGAATTGTATCCCCAGGGCATCATTTGGAAACTATATAGTTTCCAAAGGCTTTTTTTACAATTTTATAAAGAGAGAAAGAATGTCTCACTTCATCTGGAAATGAGTTGTACTCTACATGCTAGAAAAGCTTGAAGGTTTTGAAACACAATTTTCATTAAGGACAAGGGATCAACTTATGTCACTTGGCAAATAATTCTACTGCACTTCCATCTTTTCAGGTTCAGTCAGTAAAGAGCAGACTAATAGTACAGTGAGGCACACAGGAGCTTCTCAGAGGGACTCCCCAAAACTGCTTCATAAGGGTTAATCTGAGGTTATCCAAGCTCGGGTTCTTTGGTCAATCAAATTTGAATTCACAGAAAGTATTTAAGTCTGGAACAAGTCTGACTGAGTTATTTACCATTCCACTGCGTTTCAAATTTCTCCTTAATTTCTCTTTGATTATAATAATACTGATTTTAATTTTGACAGAGAATTTAACCTGAGGATGTCATAATATTTTAACATGTTCAGTCCAGCCTAGCAACAAAGAGGAATTCTAAAATCCTGTTACTTTCCATGTGATATGAAGAATGTGTGTTCTTGTCACAGATATGAACCTACAGTTAAATTGATAAAACCCTGGTGACAGCAAGGGAGGTAGAAGTGACCTCTATTGATTGTAATTGAATACACTGGTGGTGAAATCTAGCCCCTGAGGTGCAGATTTGGTATAATTAAAATATAACTTGTGTACAAGGAAGTAGCACATTTATATGCTATTTCACAACGTATGGAGAATATAAATGCATGTGTGAGACAACATCACATAAATGCACTTTTTTTCTAGATTGAATACAATAAATACTAAACACTAGGTAGCAACATATTCTCTCACCATTACACAGGGTAATCATATATTAATAATGTGAAGCAACTGTTATTCAGAGCTAAATCCCTAAATTCTTATTCAGGCAGGATAAGGAAGAATTTTGTTCCATATTGCCTCTTTACCAAACCTAATTACTTGGTTACAAGTGTGCATGGTAAAAGAAATTGTTTGTTACTGTGCCCAGAAAGGATGGAACCATTCTCTTTTTCACACTCTGCTATTGCACTGTTCTCAAATTGGTCCCTGAAAATTGAGCTGAAAAAAAAACCCCTGGAAGCGTGAATTCAAACTCCCATATCTGTGTTTTGTAGATATCCAGTCCTGGTGTTGGCAAAAAATGAAACAGCATCTGAATGATAACTAATAGAAAAATGATGAGCAATGAGCAAAATCCTTACTGAATATAAATGATGTTTACTTCCATAAACATTTCTGAGTATGAAAGGCAATTCAGAGTGTACTTTAAGGTGGTTGCTAGTGATGACTAAGAATTAAATGTCACTGTGTTATGCAAGTGTATCTGTCTTCTCAAGAATTATAGAGGCACATTGTGTCTTCTGTTATCTAGGACTAACCATGAAGTGACTGCCTTCAGTATGGTACCTAGTTTACATCACTAAGGATATCAAAATTTTGTTCTCTGGAAATTGCTTTTGCTCATTGGTTCACCAGACAAATAGAATGAAGACTCTCAGGATTATTTTCTTCTCTTTCGAAACATAAAAAACAAGTAACTATTGTTTAGGGCAGAAAAAAATCTTTATACGTGCCAAATCAACTCAGAGTGATCTGTAATAATGGATGTGTTTGCTGGAGTATGTTGGTTTATTTGAATATTAAGGTTTTAACAGAATGAAATATTTATGGGGTTTTATTTAGCTAATGATGAACAGGGAGTAAATAGCAGATTACTTTCTTTGTTAGAAAGGTTTCAAGGAGAGGAGAAAAGGCAATTAAGAGTTCCACTACACAGAAACCAGACTTCTTTTCAGCACTAGAATGGGTCCTGACTCAGCTGGACTTCTCTGAGAACCTCTGGTGACAGAAATGATGCAAAAAATATCTTGTTATTTCATCTTAGGATTCCTTTAGTGAGGAGGAGGGAAGGAAGAAAATGAGGTCAAGGATATTAAATAATAGTGGCCAGATTTTGTCTTATCTAACTTTTTAGGGCTGTGCTGATCTCAAGCCCAGGCACAGCCAGTAATTACTGACTTGGCGATGGCAGGATCACTCTAGACTCAGTAACACCACAGAATTACACCTTGGAATTTAGTTAGGGACAGATCTTCAACTGGAACAACTTGTTTGACTTCTGACAGTGCTCAGGGGCTGCAGCATCTCTCAATTAGAAACAGAGACCATAGATAAGGCCATAAGTCAATCCACAGCCTTTGCCACTGTTTCCCTGCTGCAGTGCAGATAGTGTTTGCAACTAGATTGTGCAGAAACACTGGCCTAGGGGTCCTAACACACTTTAATTGTACCTCCAACACATTCTCTTTCTAGCTACAGAATAAGGAAATCTTTTGTCTTGAGAGTGTACTATATTAATCCCTTGTAAATCCCACGAAAACAGGCATGTTGTTTGCTCTGCTTAGTCTTTCTCATATGGAAGATTTATTTTATTTCTTCTGCAGTAATGTATGGTATCCTCAAAAGACGGAACTCTGGACAGAAACAAAACAGGATTGTTTAGCAGTTTCCACAAACACAATAAGAGACAGTACAGTTCAAAGCAAATTCACACTGAATCCATTCATAATTGCACATTCACAGCAGGCCTCCAGAACTGCAGCAGTGGAATGTGTTAGGCTCTGTCTTACTCTTCTCTGAAGTGCTGAGAGCCCCATTGCATAGTTAAAAATAGACTCCACTGCATTCTCAATAATAAGGCTAAGCAGATAATTTGATCTAAACAATTTAACAAAATTAGCTTTCTCTTTTACTAGAATCAGTCTACAAAGAGTGCTATTTTCAGCAACATTTCTATAAATAATTCCTAGTGCACAGCTATTTTATGAATAATTCACAAATCTGAATTCTAAAATTCGAGCAACTGTGGATTGACAAGCCATAAATACATTGCTATTTCTTAAGTGAGTATACAAAATTTGTTATTTTACACAAATGCAAGTACAAATTACAAATGTGTATTCAAAATTACAGTATTCTAACATTCTGCTTTGTCATTGGTTTTGCCCGATAGGAAAGTAGTACAAACAATTTTTAGCCTACGTTTGTTTAAAAACTGGAGTAACTATTTATGGAAGATTTTGATTCTGTTCTCTTTCCCATCTACTGAGGGCAGTGTGTTAGGAAATATAAATATTGCATAATTTTCTTTTTCATCCTCATTTTCTTCATAGGCATCTTGCACTGATGTGCTTGTCCACAATAATCTTCTGTCCCCATGATCTCTGATGGGCACAGGCCTGCTGACCCAGCCAAAGGTATGGGAACATTCTAACTCACAAATGATGGATGGGCAGAGGGAGGTATAGCCAGAGGCCTTTCTTCAGGCACTCAGCAGTGTATTTTTTAATGAAATATATCAAAGTCTCAATCTATTTGGATACCATTAGGCTTATTTTTATTAATAGGTGAGTGCTTTTATTGCCTTTAGGTATTAGCAAATTTTTTCAGATATTTCCATTTTCAGTGTTTCCAGGCTGTTCCCAGTAGAATTATTTGTTTTAACCTCACATTGTATCATTTGTATTTCTTGTTATCTTCCCTTTCTACGCCTATTTCCATTTTTCAGAGTACCTAATACATTCTTCAAAATGTATCCACTATTTAGCTTATTACTTTCATCCTTTTTTTTATCACAAACTCAGTTTCACAGCCTGTTCATTTGAGGTAGATTTTAAGTTTTATCCAGTAAGGCTCCTATCTTGTGCATTTTTATAATGTATATATTGTTCTAAATGGCACAATTCAAACCAAACCATTTTGATGCCTTGTGACAACAGCTGTTGTCTCAAGGGACACAGTGCAGGTGGTCTTGCATATAGCTTTGAGTTGGATTTAGAGCTCACTTTTCAGTGTCAGCAGTGGCATAGCCTGCATCCACAGTCAGGCATTTGTTTTGAATTTCCCATTACTTTCAGTGTTATCTTTGGTCTTTCAGCCAGTGACTCCTCAAGAAAGTTGATCTGCAAGTAGAATCTTGTAATGAATGGCCACCATGGCACTCATGCACACTGGAATCAGCCTTGTCACTCTGTCAGGCAAGAATTCCCCCAGAATCAAATCAGTGTCTGTGGGTCTGAGCACACTGGTCCTAATGAAAACAGAAGTGCAAAGCCCTACTGACTGGAAATGAAGAGGACACGCTCTGCTGTGAAGATGTCTCTAAGAGGATGTTGCCAGCTTTAAAATGTTCTGAATTCAAAGCGTTCAGTGGAAAATGCAGAGACTCTGAAGACATATGACTGATCTCCAAACGTGACTTGGCTGACTGGATATTATTCTCAAAATAAAAATAAAATAACCAAGTAGATTATTAAAAATAGTTCCTTACCTAATGTTTAAGTTGATGGTGGTAGGTGGGCTGATCATTAATTCCTCACGTTACAGTCAATACTTTATTCAAACAGACTTGTGTTATATAAGGCCTTCCCAAAATAAGAAATATATAAAAAATGGCTCCTTAAGGCTGTGGTAGGGTCTTTACCCTCCCTGCCTCCACTTCCCACCCTACCCAATGCCTGACATGAAGCATTGTAATTACGCTGATACTAATTGGAGTAACTGATCTAGAATTTGGATATGTGCCCTTGGAAGGATAGCTGAAAGGGAAGGATAGCTGAAAGTCTTTCCAGTCCAATAAACAAGTCACTAGATCTGTCTGTTACATGCTTTTAAGTAAAATCAAACATACATGAGGCACAAACCATAATCATGTGAGTTGTTGTAAGTCTGGGTTATTTTTCCTAGGTAAACAATGAATTAGACTTGGCATTCTTGCCATCTTATCTGTAGCTCAGAGGAATTAATATCAGTTATTATTAAAGAAAAAAAAAGTAACAAAATTCAGCATATGAAATAATACAGAAGGAATCTGTCAAAACTTAGAAAAACCCTTAATCTTTCAAAGCCAAAAAGTATCAAAAAGATTCCTGGAAAAAGAAGCCATCCTCTAAAGAAAACTGAATGGCAAACGCAAATCCCTAGCTGCTAGGGGGATCTCTAAGGGACATGTCTAGTCAGAAAGCATTCCAAGATTGCAAACAAGAAGTATGTGGGTACAGAATAACAATCAGCATTTTGGAGAGACAAAAAAGTAGAAGCCTAAGGACCTTGGTATTAAATTAGCTAATGATAGCAGATTTTTTGCAGAGGAAGCAGAAATACTAGAATAGAAAAAAATATCCCATTTATTAGTTTCAAAAAATCTGCCTCAGTTTGGGAAACTAATGATGACATAATACAATAAGTCATTAGAACTTAAGACATTTATGACAATGGATAGACAAAGAGTGATAATTCAACACAAAAATATTTGCCTAAAAGAATAGTTTCTGAAGGTAGGGGCCTAGAGAGACTAGAAAGTGAAAAGGTAACATCAGTCATTCTTAAGTATTAGATGCTACTAAAACCAGAAAATCACAAAATATAAGTAGCATATATCCAAGAATGCTAATGAGAACAGGAATGTGACTGTTGGATGATACCTAATTGCATGTGGTTTGGGAAAATTCTGAAGAAGATGCAGTTTTGTGTCTGTTTAACAGAACTGGGACGTTAGGGCTTATGAGGCATATTTTTCTGTAATCAGCATCACTCTTACCATCCGTTTAGAAAGTGATTTGGGGAACCACATGAGAAAACATGAATTGCTTTCAGGGTATCAACAAGGGTCATGTCCCTTGTACAAACATGGACCCACTGTCCTAATCAGTCTTAAACTTATTTAATTTCTGAGCTATTTCTAAATGGGATAGAACTACTAGCAACAGTGATTAATTTTATTCCTGAAAACCCCAGTGAATGTAATATGAATGCAAATAGTATCTCGGTAAATTTTTGCTTATAAACAACAGTGGCAATCCTAGCCATTAGCGTAGCTTGCACACTTGACAAATCTAGAACTGGGAACATTTGAATACTTCAACTACTGCCAGTATTGCATATCTAAAATTCCTTTTCCTTCATTTTCTCAGAAAATTAAAATTCCAAGCTCTCCGTATTGCCTGGTGGTTTCTTGTACAGTGGCCTTATCAGAGACACCAGAGAAGCCTGATGTCATTCCTCTTTCTTTTTGTTTTGAAATCTCCAAAGGAAGAATGTTTCTTCACTTCTCATTCAGGCTGGAAGAAACTTAAACAGAGCAAACACAGTCCTTCTCCTTGTGCATCATATCCTCTGGGATAATTTTACTGCCTAGTCTGACAAGCAGAGGAACAGATCTGCCTGTACATCCCTCCACACACAGATGATGTTGAAGGAATTGGAAGAACAGATGAGTGGCATTTGTGGTCATCCTCGTGTGCTGCTCTCTAAAGCTCAGAGCAGGAGGAGGAAGATGGGGAAAGCTTCATTGACTGAAGTATAAATAAAGGTATTTTGGGGACAAGAAACTACTTCTCTGCCTGCTCTAAAATTGGAAAATCTAGTCCCTGGTTGTGCTCACAAAACCAAGTTATTGCTTCATTAAATACTTTTAATGATGACTGAGTGTTTAGCCAATAAAGTTCTTCTTCTGAGTGCTTGAGATTAGAAAGACCACTTGTCTCAAAAAAAGATAAACACCATGGTCTAAATAAATGGGGCATTCTGAGAACACTGATTCAGTAAATACTTCCATTAAAAATTTTATTCAGATGCATGCTTTTTGTCATTGACAAGTAAGAGGGGAACTATATATGTGTGTGTGTGTGTGTGTGTGTAGGCTAAAGTTGTATTTTGCTGTTTCAAAGAAAGGAAGGAACATTGCTGCTGTTGTGAGATCTCACAGAATGGGAACAGCAACATCCACTCCAGATAAGGATAACAGCAACCATCTAAAGCAGGGTACCATATGTAAATGCAAGTCCAGAACCCATAACTTTGGATACGCTTATTTTATTCTATCACCACAGTGAAGATATTCACATTCACTGACTTTAACTTCAGAAGCAGACTATTTCTATGAAAATGCAAGTCCAGAGGGCAAAGATCAGCAAAAAACAACTACAGCACAGAAATCTGAGCTTCCTGAATTGAGCTGGACAGACTGCTGATCACAGCAAGATGTATGGAAAGGAAACAAGGTAGAAATATATATCTGTATCATCAGCTAATATGGAAGTATTTATTTTAGCAGCGTCTGCACAACCAGTATAGCAGAAGGTCATTAAAAATTATTTTTATAAAATTTCTCTTGAAAAATATTAGAATGCAAATCACCTATTTAACCTTGTATGAGTCACAGCTGACAGATTTTTTTTTATGTCATAAGTGAACCTATTACATCATAGAATGTAGGATTATGTGGTGCATATGTAACTTCAGGTGTTTTAAATGAAAATTCAGTAGAAGGGTAAAGACATAGCCACTCCTACTATTTATATGCCCTCCTACCTTGGAGGAACTTGTTTAATTCTTTGCATCTTTGCATACACTAGTTTCAGTGTATTTTTCAGGGCCGGCTTCCAGTGTATTCACCTGCCTTTCCAGCTACATTTTTGCATATCTAGTTTAATTGCATGTGTTACTATACGTGCATACTGTTGAGCTTGTTGAATAGTGAAGTCCGTATGATTTTAATATCAAAATATTAATAATTAATTTGTGATATCAATCACAAAGAAAAGCAAGATTGCAAAATTTTAGTTGGAGACTGAGGAGGTATCTAAAAGTCAGTAAATTCCTGCCTGTTATGTGGCAAACAGAGGTGGCAGTAGGATTAGCCTCTAGGCTGCTGATTCTCATGGGAGATTGCTAACATGTTTTTAGTTTTTTGATAGTTGTGCATGTATTCAGAGACAGGACAAAAAGCAGGTCAGCAGCAATCTTTGTATTTAGGTAACTCTGCCTGACATGCATCTCTATATTCTTTATGCAGGTGCCCAGAAACAACTGTGATCACAGCAAACTTTGATCAAAATATTGATCTGAGATCTCTTTATAAATGCAAACCTGTCACCCACTTGGTTTCAGAACTGGATCTACATTTTTTGTACCATCATCTACTCTGTTTACTGTTGGTTACTCAGTACAATAGTTTGATACAACTACACTGCCTTCTACATATTTTCTTGGGAAAAACATCCCAATACCATATATTGAAAATGCACAGTCTTATTTTAAGAAGACAGAATAGTTTGAATAATATGTAGAAGGTTATACAAAATGAATACGAGAAAATAATTGTAGTAGGGAGGCTGAGACTGAACAACCACATTTAATATGAGTAAGGAAGGGTGCAATAGGTTTGTGCTTATGAGATCTCAGATCAATAATATTTGCTGTCAGCACAAGTATTGTATTCTAACTGCTTCTAAATGAAGTTCATATTTGTATAAATCTGATTTTAAAACTGAGTCCAGTCAAATAGCATTTACAATTTCATACATGGAAAACTTACGTGCATTTTATTCCTCTAGCTGTGATTCTACAAAAGGAATTCCATGAAAATCTTTATAAACTATTTTTAATAACATGCCCCAATAATTTAAGAATAATATTCACCATATTATGAATGGCCCTTAATAAGAGAGTTCGCTCAGTTCTTGCTGATAACGGAGTTATTTTTTTCCAGTTGCTCTGGTTGCCCCTTTATGGGTTACTTGAGGAGGGTGCAAACACTGTTTCCCAAAACTGTAGCAGTGAATAGGGCTATTTGTGCTCAGAAATTGCTTAGGCTGTTGCTAAGCTGACTGATACATGCTTTTCAGTGAAACAAGTAAAGAGAATCATTAAATAACAGTTACAAGGATTTGTTTGGTTAGAAGGCAGTGCCAGCAGACAGATGACTGTTCTTCAGGGGAATGCAGGACGAAAAACATTGCATTTGTGTTATCTGGGGCTGCTTTAAGTTAGTTACTTAAGTCATTTAAAAGTCTGAAAAAGGCTCAGAAGAGGTCAGAATATTAAAGTTTGTTTAATTCCTCCTGAGGAAAAAAATGTTTTAAATAAAGAGGACTGCATATTTTATGAGTAATTACATAAAATGTTCTTCGTTCTTGTGAAAAGACATAGCTGCAGAAGCAGCTAGGTAGGAATTTACAAAATGCCATATCCATATGCCTGGGATTCAATCTTATTTTGGCTATAACTCAAATTCCAATTTAAGACTGTTGACTGACTTATGAAAAATATACTTGGTTGTTTCTTTAGCTTTTCTGATGTGCAAACCTTTATCATGAAGCTGAAGGCAGCATAGCACAGTAGGAAAGGAAAGGATTCCACCATGAACCTTTCAGTATGCAAATTACTGTGTACACTCCTGTATCCATTGATACAGGTCTCAATGTCAGCTGCTTGTATTACCAGTATTTCATGCT